TAAGTATGTTTCATTTAGCTTTATTTATGCCTTGAAAATTTAAATGTTCATGTTTTTTTATGAGTTTTTTTAAGCCATGTAATATGTGATTATGGTAGTTTGTGTTGATGTTAAAAATTTGATGTTTGGTGATTGATTTATGATGATTTGATGATGGATTTATTTTGAATGTTGGATGTGTATTTCATGGTAAACTTTAGGTTAGAATGTATAAGTATGCCATGTATATGTATGATGATGGCTGGTTATACATATGTGATGGGTTGGTTTGGTGATAATTGTATGCGATGAGGAATGTGTTTTAAAAATTTTAAAAGAAAAGTTTTTGAATTTTAGGGGTGAAAAATTTTGAACTTTGCATGATTTATTTAGGGATCTTAGAGTGATTTCTGGGTAAAACTCAAAGAACAAAAGTTGTTCATCTATGTGTCTACTATCTCTTTGTAATAGTTCGTGATTTTTAGATTTATATATAAAGAATTATGTCCAATTTAGTATAGATCATTTGGATGTACCACACGCTAGAAATTTTTAGTTTTGAACTTTGTGTGATTTATTTAGGGATCTTAGATTGATTTTTGGATAAAACTTAAAGAATAAAAGTTTTTCCTATATGTGTCTACTAGCCCTCTGTAAAATGTTATGATTTTTAGATCTATATATAAAGAGTTATGGCTAATTTGGTGTAGATCATTTGGATGTACCACTTCGCTGGAAATGTTTAGGAAAGAAAAAGAAAAATTTCGAGTTTAGGGAGAGGGATTTTCGAAATTTAATGGCAAGAAATGAGTTTAGGTACTTAAACTTGATTAGTTAAGGTTTTTAGTTAGCTTAAGTTTTTAGTTAGACACCTAAGCCACCTTAATATAACCATATGAGTTTGAAAGATATGTATGATTGGGCTTGAATTTAAAATAAAGTGGACTTGGAATAAAACACGTGGACTTGGTCTAAAACAAAGTGGGCTTGGATTAAAATAAAAAGGGGTTTAGATTACAATCAATAGACTTGAGTTAGAATAAAAATGAGCTTGGATTAAAATAAAATGGAATTAGATTAAAACAAATGGACTTAGGCTTGGATTAAAACAAAATGAGTTTGGATGAAAATAAATAGACTTGGATATCCTAAGAACACTTAGTGGACCTTGGTACTAAAATGGTCAAGTTGGATCATATTATGAAAATATTGATGAAGACCCAATTGTGGATTGAATTTCTAAAATAGTATGAACATAAATAGTTTGGTGCCTATGAGATATGAAATGTGGTTCATGATACATGAAATGGATTAACCCTATTAGAAGGGTCTTGAATTCCTTGTGTGAACTCAACGGTACGAAATCGACGAGTTTAGTACCTATGACTTGGTGGAATGTGATTCATGATACATCACATGCATCATATGCATATGGAAATGGATTAAATTGAGAAAAATCATTGAGTAAAAAATGATGAGGTTTAATAACCGAATTGAATGGAAATTGGATAGGTTTGGTAACCTACTCGGACAAAAGGGGTATTAACGATCCAAATTGTGTGCTCGCATTGTTAGACGATGGATTCCCGCCAACAAGTGGCTACAACGAGGGATAATTTTGTTGTAGCAGAAGGTGAGCCGCGATTCACCTAGATTAAATATAGAGTAGACTTGCTAATACCCAAGGTACCCATAAATAAAATTTAATGAGTCGAACCGAGGGAAGTCGGAAAATCATTGCATATCACGTGCATCACCCTACTTACTAAGCTTTGGCTCACTCGTGTTTATTTCATGCTCGTGATAGGTAAATGTGATACTAATGCTAATAATGAAGTTGTCGGTTCCTCCTAGAAAAAGGCTCATGCGTGACATGACAATTATAAGATCTATTTTTATTTGTAAATTATATTTTGTAATTTTTGTAATGATATTTAGTACTCGTTAGACGATGGATTCTCGCTAACGAGTGGCTACAACGAGGGATAATTTCATTGTAGCGAGAAAGTGAGTCGCGGTTCACCCGGATTAAATATAGAGTAGACTTGTTAATACTCAAGGTACTCGAAAATAAAATTTGATGAGTTGAACTAAGGGAAGTCGGAAAATCATTGCATATCACGTGCATCACCCCACTTACTAAGCTTCGGCTCACTCGTGTTTATTTTATGCCATGACAGGTAAATGTGATACTAATGCTAATAATGAAGTTGCCGGTTCCTTCCGAAAAAAGCTCATTTGTGACATGACAATTATAGGATCTACCTTTACTTGTAAATTATATTTTGTAATTTTTATAATGATATTTATTACATTGTGTATGTGTATGGGATTAAATTTGAGACTTCGGTCTCTAAACCGTGGTGCACTTAGTCACGCCTTTTAGGTAATCGGCAAAGGAGTCGGGGCGCCACAGTGGTGTTCCTTCGATTTTGAGAAACTTGCAAAACATTGGAAAAAAGAATTAAGGAATGTCAAGAACGGCATCAACGGATCATGGAGAATTGGGAAAAAAGACACCGAATGGCAGTTCTACAACTAATTTTTCATGTTGTGCATGCATTACACCTAATTAATGCTCAAGCATTTGTAGTTCGTAAACCTATACCTAAAGGAAGTACTGCAAGAGATCATCCACACTAAGAATTAGTAAATAGGTTAACTTTAAGTGAGACGTCCTATTGAGATATTGTACGGATGATTCCTCACTTTCTTTCCTCTCTTTTCTTTCCTCTCAAGAGGAAATATCCAAACAAAGGTTAAGAGAGACATATGCCATGCTCTTCTTATACTACGTAAATATTTTTCATACACTCCACATGTGACAATGCCACCGTTATTATTTTATTATTTTGGATCTCCATAATATTCAAATTCAAATACTTAAACTAATTTTTCATTCGATCCGATATACAAGATAGATTTAACTATTCGATAAATTTTTTACATATACAAATATTTGAATTCGAAATCATATATTTAAAGGATTAGAGCTCATTTCCTTTAAATCAACCGTTTTATATATATATATATATATATATATATATATATATATATATATATATATATATATATATATATTTTGCTTTTTTCAACAACACACGTGTAAAAGGAAGGCACAATAACTGTGCATGCATTTATAGCTCTCAAATAACTCACACACACCTGAAATCCTTGCATTATATAACTTCATTAATTGTAACTATTCATTAGAATTTGAAGCAAACGCAAGACACATCTGGATGTAGATTTTTTTCGTGTGTGTAGTGTGCACTAAAAATGGAATGGAATGGGAGCATAGGTTATATGAAGTAGCATAGGTTAAATCCTCGGGGCTAAGTTCTAAATTCTGTTGTTAGGATTTGTTTTAGAGAATATCAAATGTTCTAATATAGCATAAACTCCCACTTTATAGGTACGTTATTACTTTTCAATTTCTTCTTCTTTTTTTTTTAGAGGTTTAAGCTTTTTTGTCCTCCAAACCTGTAAGGATAAGCTGGTTTGTCCCCTATTTGTTTTTTTTTTCCCACTTTTAATCAATAAATTGCCAACGTACCGTCCCTGTTCTCATGAAAAAAAAAAAAAAAAGTAGCAGTCCCAAAGTATCAATTAGTGGTAAGCAATTGGACAGAGTGTTGAAGCATTTATATTTCCCTCGGTAACAAAGCACCTCTTATTGATCAGGGGCGTTGAAGGAGGCATTTAGACAAGGTTGTCCAATTATATCTACACAAAACCAAAGGCTATAGAAAGGGGAACTATCAATGTCAATGTCGAAGAAAGCAAATCTACTAGATGGCTCGACTGGCTTCATTTAACTGCAATCGTAAAATGTGGGATCTCATTGATTCAATAAATTAATAACACATCAGCTAAATTGACAGGGTAAATTATGAGTTTAGCGAACTAACTTCTTCAATGGAAATTATTGGTGCTATCGCAAGTGATCAAAAATCGTATCAGACTAAAGGGACAATGATGAGAAAGTAAACATACAAAGAAGGGAAATGTTGTAAAAATCATGGCTCAAAAAAGGTTATGCAATGACCTTTGTATAAAAGCTTCCAATTGATGGAACCTCGCATAACTAATTGATTGAAAATCTTTCTGGAGTATTTTAAGGACGATAGAGACTAGTGCAATGCAATCATTATTATTCCTAACAGAAATCCTTTTCACTGGGAAACTTTCTTCCTTCAATCCTGTAGTTAAGTAGGATACAAACATTACGCCACCACCCAAGTTCAAAAAAACCTTTTTATTCATTAGCCCCACAAGAGCAGCAACTGAAAAGCAAAGAAATATTGCAAACATGCATGCGTACATGCATGCACCACCACCACCACCACCACCTAGGATTCTCAACACTCCAAACAAGGACTTTAAATTTCAAATAGGTTTGGTTCCTTTATGCTATCAAAGTGTTAAATGACTTTCTGCGCTAAAACATGACTGGCTCTCATTACTACTTTATGCGAAATGCAAACATTCTTCTTGTGCTTGGTGGCAATGCTCCTACCATCATTACATTGCTATGCTTTTTATCCTTTTATAATCATCTAGCTAACCTGCAAAAGAAAACATACAGCAACATATTTTGTCGTCAAGGGTAGCTAATTGTTAATTAGCTGAGGCACAGCACTAGACTCCCATTACGGGAACATAAGCACATTCCAACTCTAATAACTGCCTTTCTCCCTCTGAGCATGCCCCAGCCTTTCTGTTCGAGAGAACATGTGGTATTTTTATCACGTTACAAAACAAAAATGAAGCATGATAAGTATGTTTTTAGCAGGAAATAGAACCAAGATCCGTTGTAGTCTAGTTGGTCAGGATACTCGGCTCTCACCCAAGAGACCCGGGTTCAAGTCCCGGCAACGGAAGTCTTCATTTATTTTTATTTATTTTTCTTCTTCTTCAGAATGATGGTTACTGACTTAATCCATATGAACTTTTTAATCAAATTGACAAAAGAGAAGAATTTTACAGCAGCTTTAGATTTTTAGATGTTTCCACAAATTTTAATCACCACCCCTGTCAAAGCTAGGGGTAAATATCTGACCAATTGCTTGAAGTGCAGAAACATTCCAGCTCTCAGCATGCCTAACAATCTGTCAAATGGAAAGTTGCAATTCCTTAGTATAGGAACCATGACATAGAAACATGTAATAAAATGATATTTTCAAAAGCAGAAGGTTTCATCTCACTTTAAACTTGTCATCTAATTCATAGATTGTGCTTCCATCGATTGAAATGAGAGGCCTCCATGGAAATTTCAGGTATGTTCTGGAGATTAGATAAACTAGTTAGTAGAGGAAGCAGGAGCCATTGATGGCATGAAATATAAAAAGCTTGATAGAACACAACTAATATACTTTTCTGGACAAGGAGACTAACAATTGATTTAGGAAGACTTATTAAGGCAACAACCAGTGAAATAATCATTTATGGGATTCCTGATTTGTAGAGTAGCATATTCCGAATCCGTCCTCTGCCACCAAATGGACACATGCACATACCATGCATACACGGATTCATATATTCACTGTGATTAAAATTCCAATTGACGACTTATCAATAACCCTTCTCCAAATTATAAAAGATTATTACAACCTAATAATTCGATTTATCATGCAAACAGCACATTTCAGGATGCAACAATCTTCTTCTTTTAGAGGCAATATTCTCTTAGATATTTAAGAACCACTACAAGCAAAATTGAAATTCCAAATATCAATAAAGGAAAAGGAGATTTCATAAAAAAGAGGGGGAAATCAATTTAAGCACCTTAATTTCCATGTTGCCAGCACAAAATACGTTTCAGAATTGACACCCTGCATGCAAGTTCATATTATCAAATAGTGAGTAGTTCTCATCCAGTTCTAAGTACATAATGAAGAGGTTCAGCTCAAGGAAGGATTTACACCAAGGAAAGAGTCGCATATATTTTTCACAGCAGACCCTCCACCACCCCTCCCGGCAATTCAGAACTATAAATCAGGAAGAGGAAATTGTAAGACAGCAACTCTTGTTCTTGTAGACACCTATGAGTTGTCCACATGGTTAACTCAATGTAGTAGTTTTAGTAGGGGTGACTTTGGCACCACTGATTTATCAGAATTAATAGAGCAAACAAGGCCAGATATGAATCTCCTACACATGCCATGATCAGCAAGCATGTTCATCTACTACCTAAGATATTCTAAAAGATGAGCACTTGCATGAGAGGCTGCTAATAGGAGATATGATGTTTCTATACCATAAAATATATACCAAGAACTGCTGCACAATCCTATACGTCTGCACTTAAACTATGAATCGACACTGATCTTGCTAAAAAAACACTAAGTTATTGACTTCACAGAGTTCTCCACGCTGAACTCTGGAAGAATCAAGTATGGAACCAGGGGGTGGCAGTCAAAACAATGCTGCAGCGAATGTAGATTTAAGAATTATTTTGCAAGCAACAAGAAGTTCTAAATCCGTTACAACCAAACTTGGAGGAGGGCCAACTGCTGCTCTTTTTTAATGGATACAGCCAAGAAGTCTTGTACTTGTACCAAGAATTTAAGGTCTAGGCAACCCTAAACTCCTTTTCAGCCAACCTTCTTGTGTCTACAATTATCCCTATTGGATTATCCAGAAATTTATTGATATTTTGGTAACTGATTGTTTCAAATAAAATGAATTATAACTTAAGCATAATGAATGTATTGGGTAGGGCAAGTAATACTTATTTTCGCATGTTTATGCTTCAAGCATAAATACCATGTAAAGCCAGATCACAAAACAAAACGCTCAAAAGGGCCTTAAAATCCTAAGAACGTGACATTAATATTCGTGTTCTTGCTTCAAAACCCTTAGCTAACAAAATTTCCTTAAAAAGTAAGCATTGAAACACCTGAGACAAAACATGAACTTTATGACACATGTCAAAGTAGTATGTTGGGTTTGGGCAATTGATCAAAGAACTTGACATTCTATATAGGCAACATAAGTTATGAAATAAACTTAAAAATCAGGGGAAAACAGCTTTATCCAGTCAGTTCTCAATCACCACACCAAATTTCCCAAACTATGCTCTGTTTGTAATATAAGCTGGGTGGAAGATTTTACCATATGTTGCCTAAAACAGTGTTCACTGTCAAATATATCAGGGATCGGCTCAAATGAAGCCACCTGCTTTCAAGTTGAAACTTTATGCAAACATGCAGTTTTTATTTTCTGTAAAATCAATTTTAAGTTTATAGAGAATGGTTACCTTCTCAATGTTTCGTAATCCAATTGATGGACAATCAAAGAAAGGAACCAGCAATTTCAAATTGCGTGAATACAACTCGGTACCTGATGAAAAAGTGAGGGGAAAGAAGATTGAATTTCAAGTAATGCAAGCAGACTCCAATAGACTTCAGCAACTAAGTAGCACATCATGGAACAATTAAAGACAAGAATTATATTGAATATTGTTTCAGATCAGTTAAGGAACTCCTCAGTACCTGACATGGTGGCATAAATGATGTGCCACGTGAAACAGCTGGAGATGTGTAAATGACATAAAAGGTCTATGGTTCTTACCTTGGAATTTAATAGTTGGATCTTCAAAGATACAATCTTCAGCATAAATTGCTGAAGTGAAAACCCCTGATTTCAATAAAAAAGAAAGAATTACCTAACTTATGCAAACAGTGTGAGTATTCGGGTGCTAAAGGAGTGATTAGATGGATCTTCAAGTGAGAGTAAGGTTGAGAGTCATATCCACTGCAGTTCCAAAACTTATGCTTAAGAATAAAATGCAAACAAACTAGGCTTCATTTTTATTTTCCATTTCATTTTTGAAGCACAAGGTGAAATTTTGTTAAGCCTGAATGAAAAAGAAAGATGAAGCCAGAACCAGACGAGGCTACAAAGGTAGCAACAGGTTCCAAACAGGAAAGAAGACATAATACCAAAACAAAAAATCTACAACCAACTAACAAAGACAAAAGAAAACATTTAAGAACAAGAGCAGAGCTAATTCAGCAGCAAGAAAATGGCCTGTAGGAAGATCTAAATGGACAAACTATCAACCACTTTGCGAAGAAACATGATAGTCATATGCCAAAAAAAATAATGACCCTGTAGAGCAGCCCCTGTTGCCAAGAAACCAACAGCACTCGAGAAAAATAATGGCACACAGCCAGCAATCAGATGGGTAAAGGAAGAGACCCCAAGGGCACAACATAGCTGTTTTGTGCTTGGAATAAGGCAGGGAGATGAAATCCTTTCAAGTGAAACCAACAATCCAAAATCAGCAAGACCAGCACACTAAAGACAGGAAGTAGAAGGATCAAAGGATGATAAACGCAGAGATGAACCACCTAATTTGGATTTCACAGAAAAAAAAATTCAAGATAAGTTCAATCATTAATGTGAAAACAAGTGTCATCTTAGTTGCAAGAAAAGGTCAGGACCCCATTAATATCGTGATTCGTAAAATTAACAAGGAATGGGAAATCAAGAAAGCATCCAAATCATCAGTATAAAATGCAGCGAATAATAGATACCTGTAACGAAATAAGCATTCTCATAATCAGACTTGAGGACCATTATAACATCGTCAATACCAGAAACAGATATCTCATCTCTATCTTTATTGTTCACTTTCTCCAATCTACAAAACCAAAAGAAGAAAACAAACAATTAATTAACAATCAAAACCTGAAAATACACGCACACAACATAATTCCTAAAAGTTCATGAAAATTACACCTCATAACAACAAACAAATTTTTCAGAAAGGGTTTTGTGTTTCTTTGTTTAGTTTGCAATATATTCTCAAAACCCTAAAATTCACATGCTACACACATAACCCCTCAGGATTCATGCATTTACCCCCTTAAAAATTAAAAAGATGAAGAAAAAAATCTCATCAAAGTTTATATTTTTAACATGTCACTGTCATCAATCTTCTTAAACATGAAGAACAGCATTCAAAAGAGTCAATTTCTGGAAAAAGGTTTTCTTTTTATTTATTTGCTTTCCAGAATTTTCTAAAGAACAAATCAGAGAACGCAATAGAAGAGGGGAAAAAATGAGTAGAATACCTCTCTGTGCTTGAGAAGGAGAAAACCCGTAAAAGCTCTGTGACCCCACTTACAGCCAATTTCAAAATCGGTGGGGTTTTGCTTCTGGTCTGGCTCTTATTTTCATTATTACCTGGTGCACCTGTACAGAATCTAATTCCGTGAATTCTCTGCAAGATGAACAGTGATTAAATGGCTCTTATTTTCATTATACCTGGTGCACCTGTACAGCATCTAATTCCATGAATTCTCTGCAAAATTAACAGTGATTAAATGGCTGGAAAGAGAGAGAAATTCAAATTGAAAAATTGAAACTTTGACAGAAAGGATAATTTGAAGGTGGGTCATGCTTGCTACCTTAAAAGTTATTAAGGTTGTTGAATTCAGTGAGCAGATTCCCGCCATTTTGTAACAGACATGGAATGGAATCAGTTAATCAGTCCATGTTTGTGTTATTTCTCTAATAGCGATATCCACTAATGATCTGCCACGTCAAGGCTTTTTGTATAGTTTTTACTTTACTCTATTTGTGCCTCTCCACTTGAAATCTCTTGAACTTATTTTCGGTTGCCAGGTGCTTTATATCATTTTTTTTAATTCAACAATAAAAGTATTTTTTAGATCGATTTGCATATTAATGGAGACTAAATAGTGCAACTTGTTATATCTATTTGGTGTATTTAAAAAAAAATAGTATATTTTTTCATTAATGTTGAACTCAAAATTTAAACCTAAAATAAAAAAACAAACTTTTTTTAACCAAAAAACAAACTTTTTTTAACCAAAAAAACAACTCTTTAGAATTGCTATATATTGTGTTCATGCTACAAGACTAGCAAACACGGTAGCCAATTGCTTAATGCACGTATTATTTTTAATTTTTTGAACATATTATTTTTAGTAAATAAAATGAGAAATGTTATTATTACTAGTTCGATGGTTAGGATATCTTTGGCTAGTTTGCATATCAATTGAAATTATGTTTAGACGATTTTAAGGATGAGTAATGTAGATTTATATTGGTATGTTGCATTAAGTAGAATAAAATTTCTTAGAGATTAATTCTAAAATTTAAATTCAAAAAATTGAAAGAGAGAGCAAACTTTTTTAACCAGCTAACTTAATCCTTAAGATTCATTCAAATATCATTAAGAACGTGTTTCGTCAATAAAGTGATGATTTTAAATAAGATTTTTTAAAGAAAAGTAAATTACTAAAATTAAAAGATAAAAATATAATTAAAATTAAAATATTTAAAAAGGAAAAATAGAATTTGTTCAATTATATGGTAAAGTAAATAAATAAATCAACACAAAATATATAACAAAAAAAAGGGCTAAATGTTTCAAAGTTTGCTTAAATTTTAAAACATTTGAGAATGGATTCTTTAATTTTTAAATTTAAATTACATATTTTTTTTAATCTTTTCATTTGAGATGTAATCCTTTTATTGTATTTTCATTAAAATTATTGGTGCAAGTGCATGTACAAGTCATGTAATTAACTTTTGAACAACTCTAGTAGCTAAAAACATTAATTATAAAAAAATGCCAAACTAGAGGCACGTACCTTGTGAGTAGATTATAAATTAGTTCTTCTATTTTTTAGAAACTAATTAATTAATCTCTCTTATTTTAAAAATTAATAATTTAATTTCTTAATTAATATCAACCATGCTTAATTTAATATTATGTTATTTCAAAAACCATTATCTTTTTTTTATCAATCTTTTTATATTTTATATTCTTTTAATTTCTTAAAACAAAAAATCAAATAAATTGAAAATGAGTAAAAATAATTAAACTATAAAAAAGTTTTAAAATGTAAGAAATTAATAGTTAGTTTTTTAAATAAAATATATTAGATAATTCGATTCTCGAAACTAAAGGAACTAATTTATAATTTACACCATTCCTTGCACTCGCGGATTACCCTTGCGCACTTAGAATTAATTCATCATCAGTTTGTGAACTCGAAGTTAGAAGACTGATTTTGTTCAAACCTCTCTTCTCTAATCGAAATCCTAGATATATTGTTAACAAATTGACAAAAATTACCCTAACGCATATAATCTAATTGTTAACCCTAGCTGCTATTACCTTGGAGGATCTGTTTGTGGCAGGGTACTCTGTTTTGGGGTCCCCTGTTTTTGCTCATATTGAAACAGAGGACTTGAAGGGAATTGAGCAAAAGCTTGACACATCAAGAGTAGAAATGACAAGTACTCTTACTAAGAAGGCCACTGACCTGTTCTAGATGAAAAAATTCATGGATAGTGGCAGCGAGATTGAGCATGGAACATTTCTTATTCTGTGGCTTTTAAGGTACATTTTCTCGAATAGTTATGATTCCATCAGGAAGCTTCTTTTCTCCATCGCAATTCATCTTGATAGAGGTACTAGAATTGCACTTACACCTGCTGTTCTTGCCAGCATTTATAGAGATATGATTTGGTTGGAAGAGAAAATTGCTGATTCAACTTTGTTGGGGACTAAAAAGGGAAAGGAATGATGATGGTTTAACAGTTCTGGACGACTCCTTAAAAAGCTACGATTCCTTGTAAAAATTATTTTATTCCAAAAAAACTAGTTTTATAATGCTGAAAAAATATTCATCATAAATAGGTCATGTTATGTATAAAGATGTATAATTAATTTTTTATAAAATAAATTATTTAATATTTTTTTATACGTCATGATCATACTTAGTAGTATGAAACAAATTATTTGAAATATATTTTTTATCTTTTAAATTAAAATTTAAAAATTCATGATATATATTATATTAATTTATTTTTTTAAAAGAGAAAACAATTATATTTTAAGAATTTATTCTAAAATCTAAATATAAATATAAATAAATTATATTTACTAGTAAATAAAATTTTATAAAAAAAATTAATTGAATGCGAATTTTCATAAAAAAATAAAAATTTTAGATAATAAATTTTAAATAATAAGAGTAATGTAATCTAAAATATATATTAATTTTAAAATATATATATAAATAATTTTATTGTTGTCACTTTGCGTGAAAAACATAAATAATAACATTCGATCAATGTTTCATTATTTTTTATTAAAAATTGTTTATTAAAAAAATTAACAGAAAAAACAAGGTGGACCCCGTGCAGGCCAAGGTAAAAAAAAAAAAAATTGGTTTTTATTTTAATTTTTGATGAACCCGATTTTGCCAAAACAAAATCAGGTTTTTTGATTTCTAGCCACCCAAAACCAAATTCAGTTTCATTTTTATCCAAAAAGACTTTAAAATTACATACATAAAACAAACAAACTTATTTAAAATCTCAAAACTCATTTTATACACATACAAATTCAAATTAAAATAAAAAAATAAAAATATTTTCGAATTTCAATCTATCTCCTCCAACTATTTCATGACTTATTATCACTATAAACAAATTATATTTTTTGAGACAAACAAATTAATGATACGTTTAACTATTGGGATAGTCGGAATGGGCCTCACCGTATTTCTCTTACTATTAATGGTAAATTTTTCATAAGTTTATTATTCTTACTATTTAAAAGAATGTTTGTTAAATATATTTTATATCAAATATTTAAAATACTTAAAATTTAAATGTGTATGAAAGCGAAAATAAAGAAACTGAAACAAAAATACCAATGGATATATAAAATATATTTAATTATGATATAATAATAAATATTGATTGAAAAGTGCGTTGGTAAATTTTTTTTTAAAAAGGTGGAAATAATAAATTAAATGGTAGATTTAGCTGTAAACAATTTAAAATTAAGAGAGTTCGAAACCTTCAATAAAGCAATAATGCAACACATTGGGATAACGGCCCATTTTCATAGGCTGCTCTAGCATGGATCATACTAGCACACTCTACTGAGAGATTGGGTTGTGAGTGCGGCCCACGCGGAAGCATGAACCGGGAACACATTTATTTTTATATGGGTCGTCAGCTTGCAGCCTCCACATCACATGCTATCAAACTTTCATAATCACTCCTTACGTTTTCAATACAATAAAATTATACCAAAATATTTCAAATTATTTTAAAAAATTATTTTAGTTTGATTTTTCATGTTATATTATACATACATCAAAATATATCAAATAAAAATTTATTTAATTTTATATTTTTTTTCATCAAAATTTTGTATTTATCTAATTGTTCTTTATATTTTTCATAAATTTTTAATTAAAAAATATTAACAAACTAAAAAATTTATAATAGTATAAAAAAATCAAAATCAATGGATTCTAAGCTAAATATAAATTATTTTTTCTAAATATTTTTTTGCTTTAAAATTTTTAATATAAAACAAAAAAGAGGAATCAAAATGAAACAAAAAAATATTTCCAAACTAAAAAAATAATGTTTAAAAAAAAGATACTAAAGTGTAATGTCACAAAAACTTTCATAATAATTATCTTTAAAATATTTGAAAGCTATAAAAATACTATTGTATAGTAAAAAGAATAATACATATGAGTCTTAATAAATAATACGAATGAGTCTATGCGAACGAGTGTTTCAAAAATACAATGAATAGTAACCAATCGTCTTATTTTAGTTTTTTTTTTTAATAACATAATATTCTATACCTATTTTGCACCATTATGCTAAGTAAATTATAAATTATTCCTTTTTTTTAGAAACAAATTAATTAGTCCTATTTGTTTTAAAAACTAATAATTTAGTTCTTACGTTTTGAAATCTATTTGTAATTTAGTCATTTTTGTTTATTTTTAATTTAATTTATTTTTTTTTAAGAAATAGAAAACGAAAGAAAATAGAAAATAATATGAAAAGATTGACGAGAAAATAAGAGATTTTATGAAATAAAAATAATATTAAATTAAACTTATACAATACTAATTAAAGGATTAAATAATAATTTTTTAAATAAAGAGAATTAGTTAATTTATTTCAGCCACTAATTTATAATATATTTTGACAAAATTTTCAAGGCCCCGCCATATTTATAGAATTAGGAATCATCATAACTCGCCTTTTAAACAACTAGAAGCCAAAAAAAAAAAAAATTAAATTTTTCTTTTCTTTTTCTGGAGGATCTGAACATGACTTCTGTTATGCATGTTTATAAGAAAATTTATACTGTGAATTTTAAATACAAACGAATATAGATTTATTAACAATTATTACAAACAATTTAGATTTAACTTAAAACTTTTTTTTGGATTTAACTCGTTTTACCTTCCTTGTCTTCAATTAAATTCACAAGTTACCATCGATTTGGGGTCGGGGGAGTCCAAGACGCAGTCAAAATCTATCTCTCCATTGGCTTAATCCTCGTGATATGTGAAAATTTATATGTGAAAAATGACCATGGAAAAAAAAAATCAAAACCATACTGGTTTTCGTGGTTAAAAAAGAAAAAGAGAAGGAAATTTTTTTAATTAGAAAACGAGAATGTGAAATGAAAAAATTAACAACAAAAAATGTTTCCAAATTTTATTTTATTTTTTTTAGTCACGGAAAAATGCACAATTTTTGTTTTTGTTTTTGTTTTTTTTTTTTTTTTTTAAAAAAAGCATCTCTTGTGTAGATGAGTGAGTTGATGATTATTAAATTAAACGAGTTAAAAAATTATAAATAAACTACCCAATTTATCTAAATGAATGAATCTAGGCCTAAACCCGTCTACTTTTAGTTGTCTGTCCTGATTTTATGATCCTCATCCAACTGAAACACTTACCTCTCGGAACTCTCCAACTTTGCTGTTGCACTAAAACCAATGGCCGAAACCTCCACCACCACCACGACGATCCCACCTCCTCTCCCTCTCAAAATCATCGCAGGAGCAGACTCTTTCGGCTGCTCCCTCAAAGACGCACTAGTCTCCCACCTCCGTTCCCTCAACATAGAAGTGGAAGACCTCGGCACTTCCTCTTACTACTCCATCGCCGCCGAGGTGGGCCGCCGTGTCTCTGCCGCCTCGTCCACCCCATCATCCCCAACCCCAGATATCCGCGGCCTTGTAGCCTGCGGCACTGGTGTTGGTGTCTCCATCTTCGCCAACAAATTTCCTGGTGTCTTCGCCGCCACTTGCCTCTCCACTGCAGATGCCGCCAACTCTCGATCCATCAACAACTCCAACGTCCTTGCCGTCTCCGGCATGGCAACATCGCCGGACTCCGCCATTGAAATCCTCGACACTTGGCTTAAAACCCCTTTCAAATCTCCATGTCCTGCCTCAAATTCTACTCCATGGAGCGCAGAATTAGAATCCTTCTTGGACAATTCACTCAGCGAAATGCCAGTAATTGGGGCTAAAGATTCTAATCCCAAACAACAAGAGGATGAAAGTGGGAATACAAGCGCGTGCGCACTCTGCTGTCTGGTGAAGAACAGAAAACTAGACCCTATCGAGATTATTCCAGGCGGGGCAATGAAGATAGTTAGAGAGAGCCCAACATCAGCTATAGTAAGTTTCAAAGCAGGGAGCGTAGAGCCTGCACATCACCATACATTTGGGCATGATTTGGTGGTGTTAAAAGGGAGTAAAAGAGTGTGGAATTTGAGTAAGAAAGCGAAATATGATCTGGGTGTTGATGATTATTTGTTTACGCCGGCCGGAGATGTGCATAGAGTGAAGTATTTTGAGGATACTGAGTTTTTTATCAAGTGGGAAGGGAAATGGGATATCTTCTTTGATGAAGAGATGGAGGTTGCTAAGTTTGAAATTGAGAAGGAAGCAGAGGATGGGTTTGAGTTGATAAAGTAAGACATTGTGTGTGATTTGAGTTTCGAATGATGGTTTTGTTACGAGAGCTTAATGTTTTTGTGTCTTTGGTTTCTCATGTTGGATGATGTACCTTTGCCCTGTTTGTGTCAATATGAAGTAAGTCATGTGTAGAAGAACCAATAAAAATGATATATCAACTTTGTGTTTTGAATAATTCATGTGGTTTGCTTGAAGCTTTTTGCTCTCTTGATGTTGAATTCTAGCTATTGTGGTTTCTTCTGTCAATGGTTGGACTCTGTTTTGTGCAAATTTGATGCTAGTCAATGCTCTGCTGTTTTACACTCTTTAAGATCTAGGCAGCAGATTTCATGCTTGACTAGGCAATCTTTCGCATAATTGGTGACAGATTTTAATGTAAAAGAATCGGCTTCTTTGGCCAGCTTCCTTGCTCTAGCAGAGACAATTAGAGCAAAAGAGAGGAACCAATCGTCATCCCAAACTTATTTAAACCATATGGACTCTGCAGAAGAATATTCATCTTCCAGTAATCTGAGTTTAGGCTATCTTTCTCATGAACATATTCCCTTGATTACTAGCCATCGCTAATCCTAAGCTGGGAGATGCCATTCAAGTCTGCTGGGTTTCCATGTTGCATATGCATTGTTAATTAGGTTACATTGTCTTATAGCATGTGTTGTCCATGTGGATAGAGTTATTTAAGGGAAAGCAACGATCCAGATCTGAAATGGTAGGGGATGACATGTGAGAATTGACCTGTAATCTCTTCATTTATATTCATTCTAATTTCACCCATTTTCCCATTATCCTCAACTGTTTTTCTTTTCAATGGGGAAGTCGATAAGAGGATCTTACAAATTTCCGAGCTTGGTTTTTCAACTTCTTTGATATTTTGCTGGCAAAAGTGCCACAGCTACTGTGCACTCCAGCACTATCTCCTTTCATTTTGCTAGTTGTAGAATACTATCCTTATAATACACACAAAATATATATTTTAAAACAAAATCACATTATTGAACGCATTTGAAGGGGGTTTTCCTTCATGATTTCAAGTAGTCATGACTCGTATCGTACACGAATGGATATAAAATAAATGACCTAAACATTATAGTATAATATCATGACTAATGTCATCATATCTTCCTTAACTGTTTTGAGTTTAATGCAGTATCATCCATTTCACCTTTTTGTTAAATTGAAGTAAACCAACTTTTCTGTTGGAAAAAAAAAAGAAATTGAAATAAGCATGACTTAAAAGTGGTTGTAGCAATCACCTCTAGAAGGACATGTTAGTCCAAGCAAGGACTCCAGAACTTTCATCTGCGGCAAAAACTAAGGAATTTATGAAAAGAAGCTCTTTCACGCCACCAAACGCACCCCATCCTCGGCTCATTTATATTCTTTCCAGTCGGCTGTACGTGTTAATTGGCCCTTTCCCTTAGACATTGCTTTCTATCCTCATTCAGGGCCTCATTGCCTGCAATCCTGCCTCTCACGCTTCTTCTTCTTCTTCTTGTTCTTTTTTCTCTCTTAAAACTTCAAATAAATAATGTAAGCCCCTCAAGTAAGAAATGGTCAAACACCTCTCTCTTTTTTCGGTAAAAAAAAACAAAACAACTCCATGACTTGCCTCATAACTGAAACGAATCTTTACATTAGCAGTGTTTTGAATTTTACATAAGTCATAACTTAAACCTTTCTAGGCATCATATACCCAACACCTATTTATTTCAGCCACTCTGAGGGCATATGCATAAAGCTTTGATGTGGTGATATCTAATGGTATCATACAAGACTGAGCTCATCAGTTACCGTTTGAGGTTTTGTGCTTTCTTGAGAATCGACAGCTTCCAGTTTCTTCCTCAATGCTACCAACTCTTCCCCAGCATTGCATACGTATGCTGAAGCTTGTCTGCCGGACAAAGTCGCTCCTTCCATGCTGTCTATGTAATCCTGTTCAATGCAGAAACCATGCTTGATTTATTCTAGCTTTTATTACATTTGCACGCAAATAAACCAAGTATTGCAGAAACAGCAACTTCCTATTTTTCCAGATTTTATTGGCTCTCGACTTATGCTTGTCTGATACTATTGCTAGACAAGGAAACTCAGATTAGCCTGTTTATCTCTCTGGTTGCTTTGTTGTTCCTTCTAATTAATAGGTTGTTTTAATACCGAAAGCTGTGGAGGCAAGCACTAAAGCAACTTGTTTGTCATGCTAAAAGATCTACGGAAATTTGAGTCACCTGTTTTGTATATGAGCCAGCAAGGAAGAAATTTTTCACAGGTGTCTTCTGATCAGGTCTGAAGGGATCTTTGCCAGGTCCTTCACGATATAAAGATTGCCCAATTTTTACAACGGATGACCATGTTACTTCTAAACCTTGGGATGACGGGAATAAGGCCAGGACCTGATTATTTAAATCGAAAAATAAAAGCAAAGCAATGAGAATATTGCACGACAACAAATGGATTCAACAATTGATAATTCAAATGCAAATAAGAATCAACTACTAGCTACAAAAGCAACGAGCACATTATCTTAACCATCTTTTTATAACAAAAGCACATTAACTCAAGCTACCATCCATGATGATGTAAACCTTTTAGCTATAACTGGCCTTTGGACTACCAAGGACCCATATCACACAAAAGAGCAACTGCAGGTGGTATCAGAGCCGAGAAGGACTTGCATTTCAGCCTGGTTACTAGGTACACAAACAATTTCAAATTTTATGTCCTAGAATTAACAGAGAGGTTTTATTTGTTAGCAAAAATAAGTAAGTTGTTTACACATGTCAAGAACATACAAATGGTACATTTTCAAGGCATAACTCCTGCCATCTGAAGTCAAGTTTATGCTTTGCATACATGTGTATGTGCTCTCACGCAAAAGGCATATAGAAATGAAAAGTTTCAGGGGAAAGTGCTCTGTCAAGCTGAACAATTTAGATCAGAATTTACTAAAGCCTGCAGAGTTTAATCAAAGACTGCCCAAATTATGTTTCTGCACAACTTCCCAGTGTATGTAATAGGCTTAGGACCTTATATAATAGATGACTTTAGGTGTCACGAGAAAATGTTTAAATGCTACAAACCTGCTTTGAGACTCTCTCTATGATTTTATCATTTGTCAAGGGCATGTAAGGATCTCCCGGTGTCAGAACACATCTGAAACATATCATATTTGTGAATACAACAGAATAGGATGAAAATGTAAAAGATAACTCAGAAAAGGTAGATTATCATTCCCTTATAAAAGCAGAAACTAGCCTATACTGAAGTAGAGATATTTGTTTTCTTACTGGAGCAATGAACCTTGTCCTTCAATGTAGTAATCTTCTGGAGAAGTGAGTGCTAGGTCAGCAAAACAAGAAAAATCTGCATCTGGAGTATACAGGAGGTTATCTAAGCCAGCAGCTTGCCGCATCTGCCTACCAATTGAAAGAAGCATGGGCTTATTGGAAAAGTGCCATATGAAATATGAATAGTCTAAAGTATAATAAAAGCAGATGATATTCTTGGTCATTGAAAAAAAGCATCCTGCTTTCACAATCAGGGCATCAGCATAGATTGAAACTCACCTTGATCGTTCTAGATCCTGCAACTCTGTAACCCATCCATTGTATCTAAGTTGTACTGTCACAACAGGTACTCCCACTAGCTCATAAATATTATCAAAGAATTTTGATTCCCTCCACTGGGATGGAAGTAGTCTTTTAATTCCAGGGACATCACAAGCTACCATCAAATCAAACCATAAAATGATAAATCATCAATGCACAATTGATACAGGATACAAAGAAAGAGAAAGGACATATCTGACTGCATACCTGCAACATAAACATCGGCTTTTACAACTGTCTTGTTCGTAGCCTGCAATGATTGAAACGTAATGTTTCATGAATGAAGACCTTACAAACACTGGTGGAAAATAAAGATAATACACAGAAACCTCCAAAATACACAAACACAATCTGGATTTCCAAATTGTTTGATGCACAAGTCTCGATCCTGCCATAGGACCCACAATGACACATCTATAATAACATATCAATAGCATATCCTTACACACTCCAATTCCTTCCATCTATTAATTTGGTCAGGTTCAACTTGACAAATTCTTTTTGGGGCATAGACTGAAGATTTAATTTCTAAACCTTACCAGCACCAGTTCTATTAATCTGAAAAAAATAACCCCACCAATTCTCCAATTCCAAAACCACAAACATATCCTTGGGGAGTTAGACAGAGAATGGGATATTCATTTCCTATTCATTCATCGAAAGGAGTAGATTGAATACTTTTGTCTTTACTCTTAAGTCCTTCGACCTCTTCAATTTAGACCATAGCTTATTGACAATATTCATCAAAACAATGTCGAGGCAAATAGATCACAGCATCAGTGATATTATCACAGCATCAATGTCATAAAGGATCAAGTTTAAAAAGAGAAAAATGAGAAGCCATTTACCTTTGACATGGCAAGTCCTGTGACATGTATTTCTCCATCTGGAGATCTATCATAAAGTATCTGTCTGCATCCCCACCTCAAGTGAAACCTGCTCTTGCAGGTAAAAAGACATTAAAGAATATCAATTATTGGGAGAACACCTCCCAACCCCCCCCCCCCAACCCCAAAAAAAAAAAAAACAAAAAAAAACAAAAACAAAATTATACAAGTAATGAATTCGAACCTATATCTTAGAATTATACCTGCCTCCTTTATCTTCAATATACTTTCTAATGGGACCACTCAAGTAAACATCTGGAGAACCCTTGAGCATACGAAGTAAAGAAGCCTCTGTCTTGGTGGCAAACAATGAGAATATGGTCAGCATGCACCGAGCGCTGATGTTATCACAGTCAATAAACCCAAGGGCATAAGCAACAGGATCCCACATTCTTTGGATACTTGTGCGTGTGCCACCTTTGGACAAAAACCAATCAGAGAAGCTTATCTGTAAGAAGAAAACGTAATTTCAAGGATAATGTTAACAAAAAATGACCTGAGCAACTAATCAAAGCATCAACATAAAGAGAAATGAGATTGTTCTTACACTATCTAAATTCCTTATGTCCCTCAATGCTCCATCTGGATTAACAAGAGCCTTTACAACTGGACTCAGTGCAAGAGCCACAGCATTTCTTGCTTTATCATAAGTCTGAAATTGAATAGTACCATGAAGAAAACACATCAAAAGAGAGTTTAGAGGGGATAGAAAATTGGGCACCAGTTGGTTCAGCTTCCCAAAAGATCTTGAAAGATGAAATATAAAACCCTTAAGAGTTTTTTTTTTAACTTTATTTTTTCCTCTGGTGAAAATTTGAATGCCAAAACTATGTTACTTAGGCTGCAATGAAAAACGCAAGGGTGTCACTAAGAATAGGAATTAAATGCGCTTAGTAGTGATGCTTAATAGGATGCAATGCCATGGCCCAGGAGACATACTGGCAAGAAAAGAAGCAGCAGTTAGAAGGATAATAAACATGTTCATGACATTTTTCGGTTAACATCTAAGGTGGAGGATATTGCCCATAAAATCCAAAACGAATTTAATGCTAGGAAGTTTACCTTAAGCTGATTTGTAGACAAAAATGCATTAATCCCATGCAATGGAGCTCCAATTGGAAACCGAAAGTCAAGCTCTGGAATCAAATTCAAGTTATGAAAGGGCTTAGTTATGGCAAACAAGATTGAATATGATACAATACAAGATGCTGATAAACCAAGTTAGGAAAGATGATTTCAAATTCATGATACAAATCTACTGTAAGGCAAAAATTTGATCAGATAAGGATAAAGTATTAAATCATACCACCAATTTCACCTCCCATGTTTACAAATGTGTGAGTATGATCCTTCACAAGCAGATTTTTATCTGCGCCCACCTATGTTCAAGTGGTAATTCAGTAAAACTATCAGTTTATATAAGGACAAGCATTTTGTGTTCAAAAACTATATTTAAAATTGTTATAAGCTTCACCTTCTTCATCAAACGGAAAAGATTATTATAGCAACCAAAGAAAACGTGAAGTCCCATTTCAATATGGTTTCCACGTCTATCAACAAATGAACCCACTTTACCACCAATGAAAGACTTTGAATCGTATATATCCACCTGATAAAAAATAAGAACATTTATGTTCAATTTCCACTATAACACAGAACCATTAAATCATACCAATTGAAACTTTATAAGAAAAAGATGTCAAATTTGCTCTTAACAAGAAATGAGATTGCTGTCTGATGCTAATGCCACATAGTTTGAAACATGCAATCCGCAAATTTCATTTTTTCAAGTTTCAACAAGGACAGACCACGCAAGACAATGCAGAAAAAGCAAATATGTAAGAAGCCAGTGAGACTGTCATAAGGGCATCGTGAGCAAATACCTCATGGCCTTGATCCAATAGCTCCACTGCAGTTGACATGCCTGCCAACCCAGCTCCAATAATAGCCACCTTCAGCTTTGGTCCCCTATAATGTTCAGGTTCTGGTGGAAATAACCCCTTCGGAGCTGGGAATCATACAATTCCATGGATGGTCAGCGAGAAGAATAATGTCATCTTACACATTTTACTGACCTTTAATTGGCAACAACAATAATAAATAAAAAAGCAGTAATTTTTTCACACGTAATTAATACAGGCATCATAACATATCCATTTCATCTAGTTATACTTTCAATTTGTTGGGTTTTCCATTCCAGTTCCTAGGAAAAAAAAAACTTGAATCCAGCTCCTATGAACAAAAATCATTTAAAAATGCAGCAATCTTTCACACATGACTCCCTAAAGATAACGGCCTGTCCATTTTATCTAACTAATCAAAGTATATTTACTATCCTATGAACAAAAAACTTAAATATTCTTATATTGGGTCCTTTTTACTAGTTAACAGAGTAATAAAATAAATCGTTTTACTCACTAGACAAATTCTGCAGAAGATTAAGGACCAACTCTCTCAAAATTCAGAGCTAATTCAAACAAAATCAACAGTAAACACCATCAAAAATTCAAAATCACCATACCAACACCAAAAAAATGGACGAAAAGTCTCAATCTTTAAACGAAAAAAAAAAAGGAAAACCCAGATAGCAAAAAATGCACCCAGATTAAGTAAACAATACAATTCAAAGAAAAGAAAAGTACGCTTTAATGAATTACCATTAACACTCATATCAGAAACTTTTGTTTCCAAAGAATCCAAAGCAGACCGAACAGTAGACAACCTTTGATTCCTAAAGCCCACCTGAGCCACTGACCGCCTAACACCAGAGAACAAGAACCCTGGTGGGGCAGTCTTGCTTCTAGTTCCAGTAACAGAATATGCAGGAAAAAGAATCAAAGAAGCCATGATTCTTTTCACTACTCAATCAAGAATTCAAGAAAATTCTTCACCTCTTTCTCTTATTTCTTTGAATCACTTGGTATATATCGAAAGACAACAAGTGTTGAGAGAGAGAGAGAGAGAGAGAGAGAGAGGTAAGAAGCGATAGAAAGCAAGAAAATGAGAAGCCTTTCTCTATAGTGACAGAGTATGTGTCAATAAAAAAGTAATTTTTTAACCAGACCAACCAAATTTAGTAAACGGAGACAAAGAAGGAATGAAGGGCATCTCGCGTGGAGAAGATGCTTTCCTAAAAATTGGAATGAGAAATTTGTCTGGTAATTAGACAAGAAGCGGTTGGTTTCGTTGTTCTAAATACTACGTATCATGTGTGTACATCTTGGCTGTCCGAATTGGACACTATCCTATCCCACCCCATCCCAACAGGGTTGTGGGAGGCATACTCCCTTTGCCTACTCAAAACGACGGATATGGAAACTCTTGTGATTCGGTGGATAGAAACAAAATCTTCTTCTTCTTCTTTTTTTTTCTCTAATTTAAATCATTAAAGTCGAAATTAACAGTAAAATTGAAAACATAACATAAATATAAAAGGGGACCAAGTCCAAAATTGATAATGCCCCAACAAAATTAAGAGTGAAGATTATTTTTTTGTTTTCTTTTTCTGTCAACTTCGTGGGTTTTGGTGATTTTCCAACATTGGGGATACCGAATTAGTGCTCTTAGTAAATTATAAATTAGCCCATGAATTAATTAGTCTCTAAAACTCGTCATTTACTTTCTTACCTTTTAACTTCTTCAATAATTTATTATTTTCTACAATTTTCTATTAGAAAGGTAATGAAGCATACTTACTGCAGTATTTTTTTTATTTCTAAATTATTTTTTAATATCTTATTTTTATCACCCAGCTATTTTATTCCTCTCTTTATTTCTCTTTCTTCCATCATTTTTATCATCATGATAATGAAAAATTCATCTTTTATATTATTTTCGTGACTCTTTAACTCCTTCACTCGCTCTTTTTCTTTATCTTTAACCATCTCTATAACTATATAAGATATTTTTCGTGTTATTTTTCGTGATCTTTAATTTTCAAAGATATAAACTATATAAGAGAATGATGGAGAAATTAAAAGTATTTTATGATCCTCAATTCATCTTCTCTAAAGTTGAGTATTTTAAGTATTGTGTATTAATTTAATAGTTTCGGTAAGAACTTAACCATAAATATTTAAATATTTAGTTTTTTGAAATAACAATGATTAATTAATTCATTTTTCAAAATAAAAGGACGAATTTATAATTTACTCTTAGTGCTCTCCCTTATCTTATTGCTTTGTTTCCACTTTCTAATGGGAAAGAGTGGACCACGTTTCATGCCTTCGTTCATTCCCTTTACATTACCTTTTTGTTTGAAGACTTCTGCTCTTCAGATTTAGGTGCATTCCCAATTTCTGTGCAAGGACAAGCTGTCATTTTCAAAATAATTTCACTGCATACCAAGAAAAGAAAAAAAGACACTACTTTTTCATTACGTGGTGTTTTGTCTGCTCTTTTACGTAATCCATGTGTTAAATCTGGTATTTGAACATGGGATTTTTTTATTTTTCGAGGAAATAATCTCTCGAAATAATTATAAATGAAAAAACATGGTGCTATTTCAATGGCCTTGAATTAACATATCACTTGTATAGAAAAAAAGGTTTTAAAAAAAATTCACATTACGATAGCTGTATGCACTGACATTGCCAAGAGTTTGATAATTCTATTAGTGGTGTCTGATGTTTGAGAATAATTTTATTATAAATATATCAATTTTTAACATTTTTTCAATCAAGTAAATGAATTTTATTTTTTTTAATATATCGATTTTGTTTTAAATTATCAATCAAGAATTTTTCATCCAACCTATCTACTGCTTTGTTATTTGATGATGGGCAATTGTCCCTTATGTGCTTAGTTATTTAATTATATATCATCATAATTTAATTGGTGCGTCATGGTAGTCATTACGTTATGTTAATCTGTATTGTTTTGTTGTGTTTAAAGAATAATAGTAATGTATCGCATGCCTATAAAAAAATTGTTTAATTCGATTTTTTTTTTTATAATATTTTTATTGATCTTATATGTGTGCGTAGGGTTGAGCCAGTTAGGTTTTTCGGAAACTCGGTTGGATGTTAAGCCCTTTTCTAAAAAAAAAAAAAAAAAAAAACTCTAAGTTAATACATTACTAGGCAAACCATTTTTCTAGTAACTTGCACTAATTTGATTCACAAGGGAAAGGTACTAAGTTGAATTTACTTCCATAATTTTCAGTTTAGCCAATATTCCATAAATTTTCAATAAACATAAGAAAACTATTTCTATTTAGTTTTGATAGGAGAGTTCAGGATTAATTTTTGCTAATGATCACACCCAAAAAAAAAAAAAAAGTTTGTTTAATTGTGTAATTAATTGATTCCCAAATTCCAAATTCTTTTAGAATAGAAAGACATTATTTTTAGTGATGTTTCAAATTATTCAAATACATCATTACATTCATGGCAGGCATCCTGATATTAGATGTCATAATAAAATAATTCTTTTTATAGTAAAAAAAAAAATGATAGAACGATTTATAGTTATAGCAAATGATAGTTTTTCCATATAACTATACAAGTAGTAAAAAGCTTGTCAAAACTTTTAATAAGCAATCTATTTTGTAAAAAAAAAGAAGAAGAAGAAGAAGAAGAAGAAGAAGAAGCAAGTAAGTGATACTTAAATTTTTTACAAACATAATGTAATTGTAATATTTGTCATAGAGAAATATTAATAGGAGGCTCGCGTAGATGTGATAGAACAAAATTATTTCAAAATTTTATAATTTTTAAATTAAATTTTTTTATGTAATTAATTTGTGCTAGTGTTTTCATAAATTTTATACTTAAAAAAATTTCACTTTTCTGTAAGTATTTATTTTTAAATAAAACATTTTAATAATTTAAACTAAAATATTAATCAAGAATTAAAAAAAAATTTAAAAATATATTTTTGATAATATTGTATCCCAAAAATAAATTTATAATTAATAGATAGACTTGTATAAAAATTAACAAATTAAAAAAAATAATTATTATTTAACACCGATGAAAAGATTAATTTTTGACGTTATTCACGCAACACTCGCAAGCCAAATAAAAAAAATCATTTCAAAATTTTATAATTCTTTTATTATTTTTTTATTTTATTATTATTTTTTTAATGTTTTTTCTTAATATTTATACTTAAAAAAATATAATTTATTCTTGTTTATTTATCGATTCTTAAACAAAAACTCGTGATAATTTAAACTGAAATATTAATTAAGAATTCAAAAATATATTTTTTTTATAAGAATGTATCCAAAAAATAAAGCAATAGCTAATGTATAGACTTGTATAGAACTTAACTAATAAAAAAATAAAATTTATTCTTATTTTATTTTTAATCTTCCACGTTATTTTTTGAAAGTATGTGTATTTGATCTACATATATTTATTTACAAAATAATCAATAATGTTAGCATAAAAAATTATATTTGAATGATTGGTTGGTTCTTTTAAAAAATTATGATTTCAATTACTTTATTTCAAAGAAATTGATTCTATAGTGTTAAAAAACAAAATTCATAGCAAATAATTTATATTATGCGTGAAGATGCATGTTAATTTTTACTAAAAAATGATAATTCAATAGTTTTTTAATATGTCTTGACCGTATCTACTGGACCGAGATAAATTATCTAAAATATATTTTTAATATGTTAGATTAAAATAATTATATATTTATATATATGCAACGATCATTTAAAAATTTTAAAATTTTATGATATCTATTATGTCAATTATTTTTTAAAAAGAAAAAACAATCACGTTTTAAAATTTTATTCTAAAATTCAAACATAGATAAAAATAAATTATATTTATTGATAAATAAAATTTATATAAAAAAATATTAATGATGAGGATTTTCATAAGAAATGATAAATCTAAAGAATAAATTTCAAATAATAAGAATAATATAAACTGAAATATATATTAATTTTAAAATATAAAAAGATGTTATATATATTTCATACTCGCTGCTATCCGTGAAAAAAAAAACAAATAATAAAGTTTGATATTTTGTAATTTTGACATGAAAAATCTTAATTAAAAAATAAAGAAAAAAAGACAAGAACTAGACAGGCGCACGTGAGCCTAAAGAATCAGGTTCGCATGCGTGAGCCTGAAAAAATAGGCCCGTGCAGCTGGGCCGAAAAGACTAGGCCCGCGAGGGCCTAGGTAAAAAATGATTCTGTTTTGAATTTTTGTTGGCCTCTCAAAACCAAATTCAACCTTATTTTTATTTAAAAACACCTCAAAATTATAGAAATAAAATAAAACTATTTTAGAATCTTAAAACTTATTTTAATGCATAAAAAACATACAAAAATTTAAATCAAAATAAAAAACTCAAAATATTTTTAGATTCAATTTACCTCTTCCTACTATTTCATCGTTTACCTTCACCACAAACAGGTTTTAATTATCGAGGCAAACAAAATAGTGGTAAATCCAACTGTTGAGTGATTGGAATGGACCTCGTCATCCTTCCCTCTCTTGTTTCTCTCTCCCCCTAATATGTAAAAATAATAAATAAATAAATAAAGTTTTAGATTGAAAAAATATGTTATAACACGAGGGATGAAAATAGAATAAGGTGTTAAATTTACAAATCAATGCCTAAGAAAAAAAAATCACTAAAAGATCGCCTGTCGAAATTACTTAAATTACCACATAATCAACAGTGATTTAGGCAAATATGGTGATTACTTTTTAAAAAGCCCATGCATTTTAGTTTCTTTTTAATTTTCGAATTATGAAAAGCAAGTAATAGAATAATAATTATAGAATATGTTAACTAAAAAATTATCATTCATGTGCTGTTGTATCATATAGTAAAAAAATAATTATTATATTTAACAATTAATATATTTTTAA